ACATACCTATGAGTGATGAGAATCATATATTCTATCAATTATATAAATGGAGGTATACCGATGATTATTGCGGCTGGCTGTCCGTCTTGTTGTGTGTTTCGTGGAGCATCTGTCACGAACCGAAATAGTCGTGCGACGTCGACAAGGGAACGATTGCTAATTACCCCGGTGAGGATTAATCGCCGAAATTTTTCATATCAATTTGGCAGAGGAAATCGTGACAGCGCTCCCCCGGTGGGGGTAAATTAAGCGTCATTTCCCTAATTATTGCGGGCACTCGGCGCCCAGTTCCGGCGTCACCGAGTCGAAGAGATCGCAAACTATACGCCATACATACGCACAGGTTCAGCGTTAGTATATTGTATACTGTAGGTTGTGTATTAGTATAGTATATGTTTGTATATTGTACTGCAGGATGTATATTGCATACTGTACTGTTGTATATTGTATATTGTATATTACAGTATATTACGGTCAGTATTTCGTAATGAAGCTATAGAGCTCAGCGGGAGAGGTTAACATCGGTGATAACCGAATGAATTACTGTATAAGCCGTATTTTTCGAGTACAGATATTTTCGCGAATTCAGACTTGACGGACAATTTCGCGTGTTGTTACTTTCGCGGTCCGGGACGCGCTCGCGAAATTCGCGAAAATTAAACCACCGCGAAATATACATCTTAAAATTAAATACAGTAACCGAATAACGTTGGCAGCGTCGTCTATAGTGAGGAGACGACGGTGGTGTTGGTGATGGTGGTCACGGTCGGTGCCCTGATAATCTGATTAACTCGATTGCGCCGGAGCCCCATGAGTATCGCCTGACCGAGCCTATCGTTCTGATGAGCGCGCAAAGCTTCCTAAATTCGCTGTTAACGGGGAAAAGCGAGCCAAAAACTTCACGCGACTGATGCAATTATAGCTCGCCGACCCTCCCAGGCACCGCGGCATGCAGAGATGCCGCTTAAAGGCCCTCCAATCACTCGCGAGCGAGAACGCTTGTGACCTTTCCCGCGTGTGGATATTGCGTGCTCGCTACACCTGCGTGCATTCTGATCAGGCGTGTCACGATGGGGACGAAGCCGACGATCACGCTAGCGGCGCCACCTGCGCGCGGGCATCGCGAGATGCCTAATTCAAATCCGTGTGCTGTATCAGCAGTACATGCGACCGCAATCACACGTTGCTGCTCATCGTGGGTCTATAGTGTTTGTGTTAGCGTTAGTCATAAGGATATAACGTTATTGCTACGATTAGGGATTCACCGGACTGTACCACTAACCGTGAACTGACGTTCACGCCTCCCTATATGGCAATGATTGTGTCAGCCATTCTGTCATTTCCTCGCTGTCAACTATTATTTGTCGTGTGCTATATGGATTACTCGTGTCATACAGTGTATACGTCTACTGTGCTTGCTAATAGCCATGCGCAGCAGGTCAGCGGCAGGCGCACGAGTAATCCTTCAGTGCGCGATCATGCTACACGGTGACGAACAGTGTGTTATTGTGGAGGGTGCGAGTTGCGTAGGAGCATCATCGCACTCACCTAATTGCACAGTTGATGTGCGCGCAAAGCGAAGCAGTAGGCCCAGACGTGTGTCGCATATTTCTTCGTTGTGTCGCTACATGGGAGAGGGAGCTAAACCACAGCGTCCTCCTATGAGCATAGACGCTGGAAAGTCGTCTGCCGCAATCTTCTGTTACGAAGGCGTGCAATCCCGTCCCTGATTGTTTAACGCTGTCGCCCATGCGCCCTCACACACGATCGGCACGACTAGCAGATGCAGTGGCAGGGACAAGCAACCTTGTATTTACCCTGACACCGTAGCAATCCCGACACAAATCCCATGGATTCTGTCTCATTTAGGAAATGATCTGGGGCCGCTGCACCCTGCGCGTCCAGACGTCATGCCGCGTCGCGAGTCATCGCGTTCGTTGAGCGTGTGGCCGCGACGGGAACAGGGTAGGAACGCGGGCAAGTGCCCGAGGCAACAAGAGGCTGGCTGTCCTACATAACGTTGATTGAAGTACGTGGGCTTTGCACGACGCCAGTTCTACGTTATCTGTGCGTGGGTGTGCGTGCGTGCGTGCGTTGTGGGTATAATATATGTATCAGGAGCGTATAATGACAAATTGGTCATTGACGAATTTGTAATGACGAATTTGTCATTATACGCTCCTGATATTCAAACGTTTTCCCCCGGTAAAGATATATTGAATAATACGTCATCATGAAAGACGGCTGTTAATGTTAACATGAAGTAGTTATTACATGTTCATTGCGCATTTTTAGCTCGCCTTGACATCGTCAAGATGAGCTATTGCCATGGGGTGTCGTCCGTCCGTCCGTCCGTCCGTCCGTCCGTCCGTCCGTCCGTCCGTCCGTCCGTCCGTCAAAAATGGAAATGGCCATAAGTCAGTTCAGGTTCAACGGATTTTTCTCATTTCTGGTATGTGAATGAATAAGGACTGGCCCCAAAACATATCACACGGGTTTTTATTATTTTTTTATTATGCAAATCAGGTAGATTTTAGCAATTTCACTATGCATTTCTGCATGTGTCTGCCTACAGTCAACGATGACTCAAGAACCGTTTGACCCACATGTTTCAAATTGCATACAGTTGTTACTGCTATGGGAGAGATTTGAACGTCCTATTTTGGAGCACGCGTCAACCTACTTTCGAGCCATGCCCACTTTTTGGCAAAAATGAAAATGGCCATCTATATTCATTCGATTTTGTTCAATTTTGGTATATGAATGTGTAAGGCTTTATAGCCCCAAAGCAGTAATTGTTACTCCTATGGGAGAGATGACAACGTCCTATATTACGTTTATTTCGTCTACCTGGTTAACAACTCTACAATCATACCTACATACGTGTAATAATAGGCGCGTTCACACACAAGAAAAACCGCGATTAGCATCGCGATGAAATACCGAGATAATTGTGACGTTGTTCACACAGGCGGAAATATCTCGCTAATCGCTGAGCGGGATAATTCTATTAATCGAACTGCGCATGCTCACTGCCGGAATGATGCTTACTGCGCATGCTCACTGCTTACTCGCTTGGAATGATAGGATAGAAAATACCGGGATTATTTGCGCGAGCGTTCACACACGCAAATAATCGCGCTAATTCCAAATAATCGCAGTCAAAAGTGCTCATCACCCTTTTCTCTCTCTCCATTGCTCTATGTCGCCAGCACGCCCCTCTTCTACTTACATGCCCTAGCTCGCTCTCGCTTGCTTATTTTCTCCCATTTTACCTTCGCTCTGTGTTACCTCCCTGTTCGCTGACTTTATCTACCCGGCACTCTACATCCCACCGTTCCCGTTTATTCCCCTCGCCTACCCTTTCCTTTCCCTACTCATGCGTGTTCGTTTTTCCGTGCATGTTCTTTGGATCAATACCTGGAAAGTATACAACTACAACATACTGGCGCAAAATTATGCAATATATTGCAGTGCCGGCGGCTTGGAATTTAAGCAGGTGTCTCCCGGCACAGAATGGCGCACTAGCTTTGCCGGCAATGATGCATGCATTTGCATATTGTATAGCAAATCTAAAGCGTCGCATTTAGCGTGCACGCGGAAACGTCAGCTTGCCAGCTCTTGTATCAATATCAGCCGTGTGAAAGCCCCCGTCAGTTGAATAGGCGCAGGTGTGTCACACGGCAGGCCATCCATAGAGGCCGCTTGAATGTCGGCTGTTTGCTCGGCATTACGGTATTGTTCTCCAAATCAGTAATCTTGGCATCAATCCCCCTCATTCCGCTTTTACATTTTTCTTCGGCTGCCTTTTCTGTTATCTCCGACCCTTTATTTCCCGGTGTATTCGTCTTTTCTCCGCTGTCATATAAAGTTTCATTGGCCGCATGGCCAATAATTCTCCTTCGTCTTTTGACGCTTGACCTCTTTCTCGCCTTTATCGAATCGTTCTCCTATACGAGTCGTATCTTTTCACGAACCTTATCCTAACTCTCCATTATTTTCTCAATCTCTCCCTGTACGCCTTTCAGTCACGTTCTGTCTGTCTGTCCGTCCGTCCGCCCGTCCGTCCGTCAGTCTGTCTGTATGTCTGTCTGCATGTTTGTGTGTCTGTCTTTCTCAGTGTTATGTCCGTCTGTTTGTCTGCCTTGTTCACATGCCTTACACGTAGGCTTGACATGCTCTCTACATGTTAGCTCAAAATATATAAATATAGAAAATAGACCTCGCGCCCGTTAACACTATGCAATGGGAAATTTATTGCCCTTTGTTCGTTGTTTTGCGAATGCTGCAAACTTATAAATTTATATCCTATATATCTTATTCTACTTCGCGTAAACTCTGACTGTGTTTCATTGCCTGTCAGGATCACACGTTCTCAACTGTACCGTAAAGCTCTCGCCTTTTGCGGGATTCGTGGATTATTTGCTGAAAAGTACAATACCTTCCCGCGTAACTCTGCATATTTGCGTACGGTGGACTTCATAGTTCGAAATGTCGAATTGAGCCAGTACAAACGATGTCCGGAGCTGGCAGGCATGTCTGCGGTTTTCTCATGCGGCCAGCACTCTTTGGCCGTGTCTTCTGTCATCTTCATGCTTACACGTCTTACCTGTAATAAGCGATTCTAAAGTCTCTACAGATTCGCCCCCTCGAGGCTTACTCATGTCAGACAAGTGTGTTTACTTTAGCTGCGAAATCTCTGGGTACGTGGCGTGGCCAGTTGAGCGTGTGTATTCCCGCAAAGTTCGCGTTTGTTTGGCGTACTGGTCTATTTCCGTTTGATGCGCGAAAAGGCAAACGAAATGCGTTGCCATCAACTGGGATTGATCTTGTGGTCTTATTCAATGTAGGTGCTGCGTGAATGATTTAAAATTGCCCTGCGGGTGTTAATGGCCGTATATCTCGCTCCCGCGTGGCACTAATAGCCGTCCGTTATGTTCTTTGATGTACTGCAGCCGCCCCTGTCGAGCGAAACCGCCCAAACCAACGCGCAAGGTTAGTGCGCAATGACTATACGCCTATGTGCCGGATCTCCTCCTGAGCTATCTGATCGATCACAGCCATACGCAGCACACAGCCTGCATGGTTCTATGCTAAAGAAATTTCCATTTATGTTGATAGAATCAAAGCCTATATAAACACAGGAAAACAGAATTAGCAAATTAGCTAACCGATTTCCGCCAATCAGGTCTCGGTTTGTTGCCGTAGTTACAACGCTGCTCGGGTCAAACTGTACACAAAGAGAAAAGCAAAATTCGTACACATTTATCTACGGTCTTTGATAGCAGAAAGGCAAACATCCGTATACTGCATAAAAATGTAAATTCCTTGCAGCCTACGATATTTTCATAACGTAGTTTCTTTGCATGCTATCATGCATGCTACGGTACGTTATGATATAATCAGGAGTGAATAATAATAGATTATTATTCTAGAATAATCTATTAATAATTACTCCTGATATAATGTCACTAATATCATAGGTAAGCGTAATCAAGTCTGCTTGCAGTAATTTGCTGGACCGGCATGCATTCTGTAATACAGTCTGCCAGCTTACGATGATACACTGCTTAAATTATGTTTACGCCTTTCATTAAAGGCACTTTTATTCACTGATTTAGCCATTACTGTCCTTATTGCACAAACATAATCTCATGATAATTCAACATTATTGATAGCCCCCACAATGTTACGATTATTATTTTTAGTAGGTTACGTTTCTTGACGTTGTGATTCGGATTCCTTATATTCACCATTGCATTCTACATGCACGTTTCTTAACATTGTACAATTACTTCCTCTATTATACTACTCTATTATGCCATGCTAATTATTTTTCCTGATAAAAACTTGGCTGCTGTTGTACTTGTACTGTATGGGGTTTGTACTGAATGTTTTGTTATAACTATGTGTGTTGTAGGGTATACGACAGTCTATTTCCTCATCGCTCTACTATATACTGTATTTATTTTCGCTTACCTAATAAAATGTTTTTGATCCACATACGATACTTCCATAAAATCCTTTCATTGCAGACCCGCTTGGTAAATCATGTTATACTCTACAATTACTCTACAGTCTCGATTTTACTACTATTTCACGCTATGATAATTCTTAGTTGTTCTATAGGAAATCATGTATGCATTCATAATGCATTGTAGTAGCATCTTATTTTCGTTTACCCCTTAAAAAAATCTTCTTTAGCTTACGGTGTTCCCATAACATATTTTCCTTGCACACGCTTATGGTTAACGTACGTTAGAATGTCTTACTAGTTCATGGTAGCCTCACACGTTATGATACATTAACACAATTATCACCTTAAAGTTTTCCACACTATGCTAATTTTATTCACCTTTTAAAACTCATTGCTCTGCTACGCATTATTCAAGTAGCGTGTCTTATTCTCTACTGAAACATAAACCCATCATATTTTGGTTGCCAACGCAACTCACAGAGCCGGGTCTACCAATATAATATCAAGAGCTCATAATAGAGCTCTCTATTATAAGCTCTTGATATTGCTCTATGACCGCTGATGCACGGTTATATAGCAACACTAGGGAGAGCTAGGGTGGCTGGGAATGGTGGGAGAGCTAGATGGCTGGGGATGGTGGGAGAGCTAGGGTAGCTGGGGATGGTTGGAGGAGCCTATGGTGGCTGGGATGGTTGGGAGAGATTAGGGGGCTGGGGATGGTGGAGGAGCTATGGTGGAGGAGCTATGGTGGAGGAGCTATGGTGGAGGAGCTATGGTGGAGGAGCTATGGTGGTTGGGGAGGTGGAAGGAGCCTAGGGTGTGCTTCGGATGGCGGGGGGGACTAGGGTGGTGAGGGAACTGTGGAGGAGCTAGGGTGGCTGGGGTGGTGGAGGAGGGCAAGGATGGCTGGGGGTGGTGAAGGAGATAGGATGGCTGGGGATGGTGGAGGGAGATAGGGGTGATGGGGAGGCGGGGACTAGGGTGGTGGGGATGGTGGAGGAGCTAGGGTGGCTGGGATGTGGATGGAGCTTGGGATGGTTGAGGGGTGGCTGGAGGAATAGAGAGTGAGGGGTGTAGGGCTAGGAATGGCTGGGGATGGTGGAGGAGGCTAGGGTGGCTGGGGATGGTTGGGAGAGGCTAGGAGGCTTGGGGATGGTGGAGGAGCTAGGATGGCTGGGGATGGTGGAGGAGCTAGGGTGGCTGGGGATGGTGAGGAGCTAAGGGTGGCTGGGGATGGTGGAGGAGACTAAAGGGTGGCTGGGGATGGTGGAGAGCTTAGGATAGAGTTGGGGATGGTGGGAAGAGCTAGGAGTGGCTGGGGATGGTGGAGGAGCTATGGTGGCTGGGGATGGTGGGAGAGCTAGGGTGGCTGGGGATGGTGGAGGAGCTGGGTGGCTTGGGGATGGTGGATGGAGAATCTAGGGTGGCTAGGGGATGGTGGGAGAGAGCTGGATGGCTGGGGATGGTGGAGGAGCTAGGGTGCTGGGGCGGAGGAGCTACAGGTGGTTGGGGGTTGCCGGGAGAGGCGGTGG